CTGTCGACGGAGTCCGTCACGGACATGTCGACGTCAGCGAATTTCGGCTCCGTTGAGATTTGCACTAAATCTTCTTCATCCACAGAGAAGATGTCGGACATCGAGTTGATGTCGGCGGACACATGGACGACACATCGTCGGCTTGAACGAAGTCCGGCTTCGGCACCATCAAAGCCTCCACCGCTTCGATGATGTCGGAGCCCTCCACGAGTACCCCGGTGGTGTCGACCTGAGCGAAGTCGGTCTCCAGCGAGGCCTGCACTGCTTTCCCGAGCCGCCTTTTCAACTGCCTGAGCACAGGGCTCGGAAGATACCATATCTTTTTGTACGGCCTACTAGCATTATCAGTAATAAGTTATTCAATACGCTCACGAACAATAGATAATTATTGTCAAATACAAAATATATTGGCAGCCTTACTTCTTCAAGACACAGAAACATCTCACATCTACTCGTATACGTCCTGCACCATACCCACATCCCAATTGCTTCTGTTAGCACGTAGAAACATTAGCTTTTCAAAGTTCACAGGCAACAAAGATGCTCGTTGCGGCGTCAGTACTAGCTTGGCCTGGGAGAAGAGCCTCTCACAGCGGTTGCTGGTAGGAGGCAGCTTCTCTAGGAGCTTAAGGAAGGAAGCCGATGTCTGTCTCCCGCTCGCCTTCTTTGCTCTCAGCACCGACGTAGCAAAGTCATCCTCCTTCTCATCGTCATCACGCCGCTTGCGCTTTCTGCCAGAGCTTGCCGACGCCGTCTCCACCTCGAAGCGCTTGATTGCCTTCCGCTCACTGGCCGTCAGACTGCCAACCTCTCCATTAATGACCTAATGAAGCAGATACAAATATTAGTAGCGTTAGCATTTCCACATATGATAGTAGTATTAAAATTAAAAATAGTACCTTCACCGTGGCTGCTTCAAAAGTAGGAGAATGGACGATAGTAGCAGTCGCACTCAACTTAGCCTTGGTCGTTGGGAAGCGCTCGATGATGGAGTCAAACAAAGCTCGTACATCGGCTAACGTTACGTCCTCTAGCTGTAGCTTCAGAGTTACACTCTGGAAGACACGTAGATCTTTTAGAAGCGCCTCAATGCGTCGATGCATTGCCGCCTTGGGAATGAGGTCGAACACGGACTCCACATGCTTGATGTCGTCCCGAAAACGGACAAAGCGAGCTACCATCTCGAACGTGGAGCTCCAACGCATCACGTTTGGCCTTAACGGCAAGAGGGGTGTGTGTTCGCGCAGAGCGGCACGGCTGTTGACCGTGCGCAAGGCCGCCACGAGTGCGCTGACTGCCTCGATCTCAGCCTTGTAGCTTTCCAAATACGCATTTACAGCCAAATTAAATCGGTGCGACGCACAACCAATCAGGGGAACGTCGAGACGTGTCGCAGTAGCTTGGTTAGTCGAACAATTATCACCAATCAGAAATGCCATATTCGACTCTGATAGGTGGAAAATCTCGCAGATTTTCTTTATAAAGGAACAATTTGATTGGACCGTCAGGTCGCCTTCTTCCATTGGGGCGATAGCGAGCAGCACTTGCCTCAGCTGTTCGTCATAACAATACACAGCGTAAAGAGCCACGTAGTTCTCCAGATAGAACGTAGATGCATCATACAAGTAGCCATACTGCCCTGACATCTCGGCAGTAATCTTAGCCTCGACAGCAGCAACAAGTAAAGTCATGCATCGCTTGAGCGTCTTTGAACAGACAGGCTGAAGTTTCGACATGCCTCTAGTGAGTGGATCATCGACCTCGCTTAACGGCATGTTACGGGCGACGA